ATCACTGCCATCATCATTGTCGGACTCACCGGGGTTGATGACCACTTCCGTATCAACCTTATTCTCCTTCAATTTTTTTTTTCTTTTTCTTCTTCTCTTTTTCTACTTCTTTTTCTCTTTTAATCTATCCATTCTTGTAAGGGAAAATATATATGTAGTAGGATTGCAATTTTGCTAATGCAAAAATACTAATTACTTGGACATACCTGATGTGTGGTTTTCCAACATCTCCTCTGCCATGGATGGAAATTTATCTTATCAATGTAAGATTACAATTTTTTTTTTTCTTTTCTTCTTATTTTTTCCATTAACATTACAAAGATAAAAGTTCTCATCAAGGATAATGAGGAAATTACGATTTGTAATATTATGATTTCTGATACAGAAGATCATCTATAAGACGCAACTGTAGAGCATACTTTCATCGTATTACAAATCGAGCTCTATAGGGTAGAGACTCGTGCTGATAACGTGTTATAAAACTAGAAAGACAAGAGAGAGAATAGAGAAAATATTTCTCTTAGGTGTGTTTTTTATTATAACTGAAGCTCCTATTTATAGGAAAACTTCTGATGGCACAACCGTAATAATACAATTACATCAGGGACAAAATAGTCATTCACATACATTATTTTATAAATATTTCACAACAAAAATAAAGAAAATAAAAAAAAATAAAAAAAATAGTGTCCGGCCGGTCGGACCGGCCGGACCGGGTCAAAACCGGCCGTCGTGGCCGGACACCAAGTGGGCCGTACGACCGGTCGGTTAGTACAACGACCGGTCCGTACGACCATAATTTTCGCACGGACAGGGTCGTGTCCGGTCGAACCGGCCGGACGGCTTTGTGAATGTCCGGTCCGGTCGGCCGGACACCGCCGGTGCCGTGCGAAAATTGTGGCCGAACAATTTTTTTTTTACCTCTGAACTGCTGGACATCTTGCGAAAGTGAGAAATGAAAAGGGCAAAATCGTCCAAGGGGGGCGGTGACTAGTAATAAGGGGGCGGTAAATATTAACGCCCTTATTTATTTCACCAAATTTGTCAACACAACGCGAGAAGAAAGAATTCAATTCCACTTGCGTTCAACATGAACCCGTTCGAAACGAATTCACCCAGTTCTTGATCAGTTTTAGCCAGCTCTTGTATTGACTTCTTTTTTATTTATTTTTTTATTTCATTTTGTTATTTTTAAGCCAAAAAACTAGACCACTGTAAAAGCAGTTCTCGATCAAACCGGCCGGTCATATCCGAGTTTGATAACTATGGTTTGAATCCCTTCATTCAGTCAGAATCACTCCATTGCAAGCACCATTCACTTATTCTTTTCGCATCTCAAGCTTTCATGTTCTCAAGTCCAAAAACATTATAAATCATAAGTAAAAAACAGATATAAGGAAAAGATTAAGAATGAAAAGGAAATATAAGCTCAAAAATGGAGGAGATAATTATTCCACAGTAGCTCAGTCTTTTAAAAAAAATCCATTCCTTTAGAGGTATTAGAGTTGGAAGTTAAAAGGGGGTGCTCCCGCTGGAAGGTGCAGACATAACAGAAAGAATGTCGGTAACAGAGGACATTGCACTCAAAGCAGCTTTAAGGACATCCTGCGAACATCCTGGTTTCACTATTGAACGCACCTGAAGAAAGTTTTAAAAATAAAAATAAATAAATATAAAAAAGTTGGCGTAAAATAGCGATTATGCACCGAGTTATTATATCCATGTGGGTATATATATATATATAATCAAGAAAGCAAAGAACGACATTGTATGGAAATCAATACCTTGTCGAGATATTCCTGCAATTTCTTAATACGGCCCATGTAATCTTGATCTTCAACACAGAGAGTAACGGGTTTTGAATCAGCACCAGGGCCATCAAACTGAAGAGGTCCCGGGTTTCTATAAATATCCTCCATCAAAAACTTGGTTGCGTTTTGTCTCAACAGCCTAGAAAATAAAACCGGCATTTAGTTTACCAATAATCATGAACTCAGATGGTTGACTATAATACTTTTACCATAGGAGCTTGAAAACAAAAATAGGAAAAAGAGAAGTCAATTTTGAATTATATATAATCCTAGGCTAGGATTTGTTTGTCTTGCGAAATTGTACTTAAAGAGAAGCACAATTTTTAAATTAGAATAAGTGTCGGTTAATTCTTTTTTTTTTTTTTCAATTCTATAAAAATGGAAGACAAAATATGCAGCTTAATGAACAATAAACCACTTCAAAGATTGGAGCAATTAATTATAAAAAAAAAAAGACATACTCATACCACTGCAAAGATTGCAGCAATTAATTAAAAAAAGAAAAAAAGACATACTCATAGGCCTTTCCCTTTAAATCAACATTTGCTGGATGCAAAGCTGGCTTCCCAAGTGTTGAAGCCCCATGGCCGCGACCATAGCGCTTAACAGTTAGCATAGCCTGGAATTACGAGTTAAAACACGAAACTTCATTTTAAGAGAAAGGGAAAAACCGAGAAAGAATAAATGAAACTTTCAGAGAACAATCATACAAGTAAAAAAAGGTCATGCAGGTTGTTTTCGAAAATAAGGTTGGGATGGATACATACAGTTATAGGAGCAGCACCACACTTCCACTTGTTAACAGGATTCTTCAAATTGGTTACAGTTGCCATGTAACCATTCAAGCCAGCAGCAATTATGTGATAGCCAATATGACCAAGCACCTAGAAATACATCTCAAGCCTTGTTATTTAAACAAGCCGCAGATTTGTTAACATAATAACCGTTATACAACTCGAAATCGAACTTACATAGGCGTAGTCACAATCAAACTTTGATGGCAAAGACCCCCGAGCTTGGTAGCCAAAGAAATGGCAAATGGCATTGAACTTCTTGCCTTTGTAGGTTCCTTCTTTCTGTACACGAAAAAGTAAGTGCATCAAAAACTAATATGCCATTCAGAGAAACCCGCAAATGAACATTTCCAAGACCTTTAGGGGATTGCAAGAAAACAAAAAACAATGTGGCCCACTTAAAGTTTTATCAGAAAATGCTATTTTCTAGATATTATCAAGAACCAATAAATTAAGGAAGCATTTAAATTGATAGTGCGTTAGTCAAATATCATCCATGCAGCTCCCAGATAGATCACAAGAAAATGACGTGGAAACAATAAAAATAAATGTATTTTATCATTTGCTTTCCTTGGCAGATAACTTACCAGTCTCTTATTCATCTCCGCTTCGACAAGATGAGCTAGGAGCTTTTCAGTCTCAATCTGTCAAGTCAAAAGAGGCTAAATTAAGAAAAAATATATTAAAGAGACCCCCATTTTTCAAACATGTAATAAATAGGCTCATCAAGTCTAGAACCTGAGATAGCTGTGCAGAGTCATCTGATTCTGGGTGGAGAAGGAGCTGTGACACAGTAATAACTTCACGATGAGCAAAAATAATGCAAAAAAAAAAAAAAAGGAAGTAAAGAAGCTCCTAAAAATAAGAGAAGGAGATAAATTATATTGTACCTGTTTCCTTATGAATGGTGGCAGGAAATCAAACAATGCAGATGCCCAAGGAGAGAGTTGTGCAGAAATGTTATCAGCAGATACACCTTCCCTGAGCAAATGGTGAATTTCCTGGGATATACAGTATTGGAAAAAGGCTCAAACTATTTGTTCACTAATATGGAAACAGTTAGAAGTTATCTTTGTCCCACATTGATTAATTACTGAGCTTTTATTGTTTAGAAGTATGGTTGGGGCACCCTTTTCTAGTTTCTGGGGATGAGTTCTACCTGGGCCCATTTGTCATGGTATGTTGGGTCTGCTACGCGTGCGGACGGGTGTTAGAAGTTTGTTGTCCCACAACGATTAGTAACTGTGTTTTAGGTGTGTATAACTATAGTTTGGGCATCCTCTCCCTTTTGAGCTAGGTTTTGGGGATGAGTTCTACTCAGCCCCATTTATCAGAGACCATCAAATAACAAAACATCTCAACATTACCAATTCTCTAGCCTAAAGAGGATAAAAGTCAATGCAAAAACAACAGACGAAACCAAATGCCTAACGTTTAATACCTGCAATAGAGCATAAACTTCAGGTATGCTTTCAATAAGCCCCTCAGGCAGAAGAATGACACCGTGATGCTTATCTGAAGCAAAAATCTGTTTGTCACAATTTGTTTTTAAATCGACCATATATAAGGTAGAAGTTCCCGATGTGCTACTACCTTGTTCACCTCTGGCTTGAACTGCATCACATATCTGTTTTGTGATGTCAAATAGAGTAAGGTTTGATGCCGCCACCTCTTCAGCAAGAATGACCTACAATAAGATCATAGGTCTTTCAGATACGAACACAAAGTATACCAATCTCACAGACAATAAACTATCAGATACTTCAAAATGAACTGTAAAATAAAAACAAACCAGATTGGGATGGGACTGGAGAGTGCATTCCAAGGCAACATGAGATGCTTTCCGTCCCATGAGTCGAATGAAGTAATAATACTGCATATAGAAAGAAGAACGTAAAAGGCACGATTCATAGCAGATTTACATGAAGCAGCATGTCTACGAAGTATGAGAAGGCAGTAACAACTAGTAAAACTCAGGGAACCTAAAATACAAAAGGCAGAAGTACGTATTAGTAATGACTTTACCTTTTCTGCAGAAAGAGCATCAGTGCATACATTACTAATCAGCTGGGAATTAACCTGAGATAAGTAAAGAAATCTCAATTAAGTCTTACGAGACAAGGCGATCTTCCGAAAACTTTTGAACATAAGTGGTAGCTAAATAAAGAAATATAAACTAATTCTCCTACATCCAACGTGTGTTAGAAATGTATTTAGGGCCTCATAAATGAAATTGGGAGGATATAGAAGCCGGGAAGAGAAAGGGGTATAAATACATGGATCTATATGCCAAAGTATATTGAGGAAATAAAAGGGAAGTCTACATACACAAGAAAAGGGCAGAAAAGACTTTACCTTGCATATTGTGTCAAAACCAACATTTGTCTCAACAAATTGGTTTTTAAGATCTCCATTTAAAGTAACAGGGATTCCAACCACCTGCAGAGATTTGACAAGATTTTGTTTATTAATTATATCCAAAATAATACAGTGAAGGAAAAGAAAATGAGTTCAAAACTATTACAGGATTCTAGACAATGTAGACGGATAAGACACAACACCCAGCTTAAAGGTAAAACTAACATAATATATTTTGATCCTAATGTGACAAACCTTTGTAGGGCACTTTCTTTCTGCAAAAGTTTCTGCAAGCTGGGATGCGTCCGTATTTGACGTCACGCCTGGTCAACAAGTTACAGGCATGTCACAAAACTGACTACGGCATTATCATGCACTTTAAGGGTCATATATTGCCAGTACCTCCAATAATTACAAGAGCATCCAGCTTCAAAGCCGTGCATGTGTTATGTGCTGCATTAACTTGCTCAGTTGTTCTAATTTGATCTTTTGTCCGTCCGAGCAAATCATATCCACCTTAAAAAAACGACAATTTTTTGACAACAAAGCACAGAAGCAAGTCACACCCACACACTGAGATTATCAGTTACCTTGATTTTTGTAGGTTGCGAGAATGTCATCAGTAATCTCTAAAGTTTTTTGTGCAAATAAACCATCAGAACCACCTGGTAAGATATAGATACAAGTCTTTAGGAAAGTAGTCTTTGCTATAATAAAAGTCAATCTCAAGCCAGGAAAGGAGCCAATTGAAAGTCACAATCTAGCTTCAATTTTGGAAACTTAGAAAGTTCTTCTTTTATCTATGAATCTACAAAATCTTCAAATTGTATCTGATTAAATCCATGTATAGTAAACATTGCCTTGCATCACCGAGCATCTAGAATTTCCCATTTATAAAAAACCCTCATTCCATATATAAATATAAAGTAAATTCTGGATAGAATTAGATCAACGATTTAGCACAGATGGAAATTCGATTCTGTTTACTGAATTACATGAAATTTTATCCAACTCCTAGACTGACAAGCAATATAAGAAAGTACTGACAAGAAAAGAAAAGATCACCACGTTCCTTGGAGATCACTATATAAAAGTGAAAATTCACTAGCAACTATATCAGGGAGCAGAGCTTCATGCCAACAGAGAATTGCATAAAAAATCTAATCAATATGTCTTGGTGCATGCTTTGGTATGGTAAGAGAACACAATGCTTACCAAGAAATCCAAACAAAGTACTCTTGGGGTTATGAACCTTGAGCGCATCAAAAAGACCCCATATGACATTATGTCCTCCAGGAGATTGTCTACCACAGAAAACAACTCCAACCCTGATAAAGAAAAATTTGTATTTAGTAATTTATAATTTGAGTTATATGATAAAGCAACAAAAAAAAAAAGATCCTTCTTTATTAAATATTACATGAAAGCTTATGATTGTCACAATTTGATGAGCTTAAGGAAAGGCCAAACCAGAAGAATAGCGTGTACCTGACTGCAGGAAGCTCCGTAATAATTTGAGCATCAGGAACCTTCGCGGTCGCCCTAAGGAAATGCGCGATGGGTTGACCATAAGTGTGAGGAAAAGACCTACTTATGGTATGGGCACCTGATGGGTCTGCAGGTATTGCTACATCGCCAAACTCAACACGGACTGCATTTCCCTGCCCAAGTCATAAGAGAAAGAGGTTACAAATAAGGTTGATATCTCCACGAACAAACTAATGAACTCAAAAGGAAAATAAACAAGGTAAAATAAGATCAAACAGCTTATGTGCGATTATACAGATAGAAATTTCGAGGTTTTGCAGTTTGTAGTAGGTAGGCATAACTACAAATCAAAAATTCAAAATTTATCAAATGCAGTTTCCAATCCAACCACTCTGTTTCTAATTCTTGAAATAAAGATCTACCAAAGAGAACTGGACAGTGCAGAAACCACATAAAGGGAGAATGAATGCACTCAGATTTGTTTTCAGAATTTCCAGTGATCCAAAATGAACAAATTTCAAAACCCTTGTTTAACTAAATCTCTTCGTTTTTGCACAAAGACAACAACAAATCATGGAACAACATAACAAATGTATCAAGGAACACATAGCAAAATGCCCACAAAACAAAACACAAATCAACACGATCCAATCAATCAGATCTACTTCCTCGGACATCACCATGCACGAAAACAGTAAAACACTAGGAACCACCGAGTTTTCACCGCTAACTAATGCAGTAATGCTCGTATATCACAATTCAGACACAAGCCAAACAAAATCAATCCAGCATGAACATTGAAAAAAAGACGAGAATAGCAAAACTGGATGCAAACAAAACCAGAACAGGATAAAAAGGAACCTAAAAATAACCAAAAAAAAAAAGATGAGAACGAAAGAACTGAGTGATAGAGACCTGAAGGCAGGGAGGAAGCTCTGGCTGGTACAAAGATCGAAGCTTTTGCAGATCAGAAAGTTCTCTGGGTGTGCCATAATCGGAATCCATCAGGGCAAAATCGATGTGCACTAATATTTCTTGGAGCACAAGCACACACTCCACCTACCAATGCGCTCTTTATGTGTGTGTGTGTGTGCGAAATTGGTTTATATAGCATGAGATTTGGGAAGGGGCGATACTACCAACCAAACCAGCGGTTTAAGTTGAATGTTTTCGTAGGACAGCGATATTTGACCTCCCTATGTGTAATAATACTTCATTAATCACTTACTAGTACAATACCCGTGCTTGTTAAAAAAATATTCTTAAATTTTAAAATTAATGAGAAAATTATATTAAATTTAGTTTACTTTTTTACAAAAAAAATATATTACTATATATTTTAGAATGATATGTGTTACTTATGACTTACATGTGTTATATTATATTA